AATTTCTATGATATCTGATTTACTCAAGAAACCACAAAACATTTCCCAACCCTGATAGTATTTCCATTCTGTTTCTATTGGACTTTGCTTTTATGAATGTCGTTGGGGTAACTGCATTTCCAACACATTATTAAATGCAACTGTTTTTATTCTTGAACTGTAACTTTTACTTATAAACTAATTCCTAAATGGGGAGATGAAACAGACAGACAGATATAAGGGTCCTCTATCCAAGGATGTTGTACCACTTTTGAATCAGCTCCAGGCATCTCTGCTCTCACTCATTTCAGACTTTGAATCAGGGTTTTGCCAGCTCTGCAATGGTTCAGCAAAATCAGTGCTAAAACTGGTATCAGTTTTGAAAAACCTATTGTCTCATTGGTGGGAAATCTGCTTCAACCTGGCTAAACAGTATCTGGCTCAACAGCAGTAATTGTGAGAGGGACCTCGGTGTCCTACTGGACACCCACTTAAGTATAAGCCAGCAGTGTGCTGCAGTTGCCAAAAAAGCCAATGCATCCTTGGCTGTATCGACAGAGGGATAGTATCAGGATCACATGAAATTTTAGTACCACTTTATACTGCATTGCTAAGGCCACATTTGGAATACTGTTTTAGGAGATTACCATGCTGAGCAAGAAAGAGGGGTCAAGCACATCATCAGTTTTGAGTTCCTTCATGCCCATAAGTCCAGTCCAGTTTGAATTCTGTTGACCTTAATCTACCACCAATTTGCCTTAACTGTAGTTCAGTTTCTTGTAGAAAGTGTTAGCATGCAATGAACCTGTATTAATTTGAATTGCCTTGGCTCCTGATTTCCTGTGTTTGACAACTGTCAGGTCAAAACCAGTGGTGTTATGTTTTTTCTACATACTCTAAGATCTTTCTCACGTCTCTTCTCGTTGTTTCAACTAATCTCCTGACCTCCGATTTGATCATCCTTGATCAATACAGATCAGATTGTTTCTCTTCCTGACCCCACCGTTTTATCGTCAGAAGGTTATAAACTCCCCGACAGTGTCTTTTCTCCCCCAGGACGTATTCTCCAAAGCACCTGAGGGCAGGACAAGAAGTAACAGATGGAAGATTATCAAAGAGAGATCCAACCTGGAATTAAGGAGAAATTTCCTGACAGTGAGAACAATTAATCAGTGGAACAGCCAGAAGTTGTGGGTGCTCGATCACTGCAGGTTTTTAAGAAGAAATAGGACACCCATTTGTCCAGAATGGTTTAGGGCCTCCTACTCAGAGGGGGTTACACTAGGAGATCTCCAAAGTCCCTTCCAACTCTATTATTCTGTATTCTGTCTCCTCCTGGCACCTATCAGCAATTTTTAGGTACTCTACTAAATCAGTAGCAGACAGTTCACTCTTCTGCTACACTTTGTTCTATCAAAATTCTATCAAACCTGGATACAATGCTTCCTTCTACACAATATAGGAGAAGGGAGGATTGTATCCTAGTTCAATAGAAGTTTGGATAGAGCAAATGTTGGGTGTCTGGGGGGGATTTACAAAGTGCTATCAGTTTGTTAAACCCAGCCTGTGAGTTTAACTTAGCCTCTAAGTAATTTACATGAATCACATCTTTTGATAAAACTTTTACTAAACTTAATATATTCCAGAAGTTTTAGTGCTAGGTAAAATTAGGACAACCCCCCTCCCCAAGGAATTAATGTTGGGATTAAGAACCAAAGAGAGGAGGGAGAGAGAAGGGAATGAAATCTATAGTGTGGCAAAATAGATTACTGCTAATTCACCAGAACAATGCATTGAACAACAAGCATTTCTACGTTCTTTTTTTTCCTATGGTCTTTTTTTTTTGCTATGTGACTATTTTGCAATGAATAGAATATATACTTTTATATTCCAACTGGCATAAGAAACAAGTTGTGTTCTGGAATATGGATCAAGTATTGGTGCGCCCATACCTGTACATTTGCTTTGGCAATTGTCAAAGATACTGAACTCGATTCTGAACATTTTAAATAATATATAAATTTTACTTTGATTGTTGCACTGAGAGTACTACGTTTGAATTGTGTTTTGAGTAACTTCCTCAGTAAATCTGTTGTGCTATAAACTATGTTTTGAAGAGCAGCATACTACATTGTTACAATAGTAATCATAATTCCCCAGAAAATCAGCAAATATGTTTGCCATTTATAACTGCCTTTTCTCTCAACTTGCATTTGAGCTATAGATTCTTTACAAAATATTTTTTTTCCAAATACATATGAACTTTATAAGAGTCTCCTAGATTTGAATGATCAATGGAAACACTTAAGGACAAAACCTCAATACCTACAAGACACAACTTTCTTTCTGTACTATGGAGAAATATGGGTGTGAAAGTTGGCTCCTAAAAAGATAATGAATTAGACTACCTTTATATGTAACTGTAGTGTTTACTGTCCCAAGTCAATCCAGACCGTGTAAAAAACTTCACTTTTCTTCAAAAAGTAAACGTGTCCTATTAATATTAGATTGTATGCCATTTAAATTTGGCCAGCAGTAAACGTTCCAACTGGATAATGACAACAATAAAAACTTGTAGATGGCAATAAAGGATTTACACTGATCTAAAACAAGCCAAGTGATAATTCTGTGCCGACTTAATGGAATGAATACAACAAAAAAATGTATTGCTATTCTTTGCTATAGAAAATACCATTTTACAGAGCTCTTTTCTACTTATTTAAGCTTGAACCCATTGCTAGTTGTAAATTCTAGATAAAACCCATTGCTAGTTGTAAATTCCAGATAAAAATGATAAATGATTATTTACTGAAAAAAAGCAGGGCAAATGTTCATTGTATAATGACACCATTCTGTAAAATTTTGGCTACAAGTGTAAACTGTGACAGTGCACTAGATATTTAACTTGCAAATCCCTATGGGCCCTTCACTCAGCTTGCAGAGGGACAGAGGAAGTAACTACTGTAGCTTTAATACAGCAACTTTGCTGTTAAAGCACTTACATGTCACTTTGTCCCTGAGGTGTGCTTAGATTGGCCATCGGAAAGTAAAGACAGAATCACAATGTGTTTGTCACAATGTGTTTGCTTTTAATAAAAAAGATGCCCTTAACGCCAAAACTCTGTAAAATGAAACAACTCTGAACTGATCATGAAAACTCCCTTTTGTTTCTATGCCTTGTACCAGCTGCTTATCAGATTTGCTGATGATACAAAATTACATTGGGTGGTTATTAATATGTACTGAGGGAGAAAAATAAAATTCAAAATTATTTTGATAGATTAGGAAAGTGGGCTCAAGAGAAAAATGGAAGTTTATGGAGACAAATACAGAGTTCTTCACTTAGGAGAAGAATTCAAATGCACAAAGGGGTAATTGGTATACAAAGGCATATGCAAAAAAGAATTTGTAGTTGATCACAGGCTTGAATATATCAGCAATGTGAATGGATGTGAAAAAAGACCAACACATTTTTAAGATGCATTAATAGATATTTAGTTTTTAAATCATAGCAAGTACTGTAACTGTATTCTCCATTGCATCATACACTACCTTTTGGCATAACACAATAATGCCACTTCAATCATCTGATACCATTGATACCCTGCACTGGCAGGCTTCAATACTGTACAGTGATGTTATGGGGAAAACTTTAGTCAGTGCTTTTTACTGAAGCAAATGGTTATTGGGAAGATGGATTGAATTACCAGGTAATTCTGTGGTTTGCCATCTAGAGTCAGATTATATCATGGGTAGAACAATTTTCTTCAATGGGAAAAGGAGCAGTCACTCCCAAAAGATACCTTTCACTTGTCCTCAACAGTTTATAAAATTGTGAGGATATACTGCTTGAGAGGAAGAACAAATGCAAAGGAGCAAGAAGGGCCTGCCCAACCAGATTCTAACAGAAGATTTAGATAATCTTCCTCAAACCTGCATTTTTGTAATGTCATCTGAACATGTTTGGAATCTTAAGATATCCTTTAAGATGGCAATATACAACTATTTTTTCTTTGGAATTCTGACTATATGATTGTTGCCTTCTATTATTTCTATTATATTCCTTAAGTGGTTTTTATATATTTAAGGATTAGTTTTTCCCAGAATTGCACAATTTTACATCTCCCCTTATGTTTTCAAATTGTTTACAAAATGCTGGTAAGTTCTGTATTTGGGACTTCTAGGTACCTTCCTTTCTGTTTTACCCCACCTCTTTAAACTTATGCTGAAGAGGGAAGCCTTTTACAATAAGCTAAGAACCATCCAGTTGGTCAGATGCAACATCACAAGATTCAGCCTAAACAATAGCTTTTGTAAATTCTTGGATAAACCTGTTCCTTAGTGATGCTTAAATTAGCTTCCTACCAGCTCACAAGCACAAACAGAATGGGCTTATTACCTGTTCTTTGTTGTTTCAGAGTGCAAGACACACTCTGGTGAAGTTTCAGGAAAGTATTTTAGCTGAATATTAGGGGGGGAAACCATAATGGTAAAATAGTTTGATAGTGATACCGATCAATTAGGGAAATTGTAGACATTGTTTCTGTGAAAGTATTGAAATAGAAACTAATAGCTACTCTCTAGGAACATTTTAATTCAATTTCATGTACAAAGCAGGGGATTCTAGTAAGTACCCATATTATGGCCAAAGGGACTTATATAATATACGGGATTAGAGAAACATAGCAATGCAACCTCCCATAGCCAACTTTCACTGGCTTTAATGTTTGTCCTTCCCAAGCAATATAAGGAGGGCCATTATCTTTCCCCAAAGATGAATATGAAGCTGGCTGAAAGACTACTATGTGCTGAAGAACTTTTTCATTTGTATTAAGTTTTCTTAGCAGTCCTGTTTACCCTCCAATGCATGGGGCCATGCTTTCAATTCACTTTTTAATTTTTAACACAACAGAATTGAACTATTCTTATAGTTATGTTAAAATTAAGTTTAGAGACAGTGCCCAATTCCATATCTATTAGTCTATTAGTGTATTTCTGAGCAGGTTTAAAAAAACACCTACCCAGCCATAACAATGAAGAAATCCAGGCGGTTCCAGGTGTCTCCAAGGTAGCATTTCTTGCCAAATATCCCCAGGGCCACCATCTTCAGCACCATTTCCATAGCAAAGAAGATAAAAATGAAGTCATCAAATACCTAAAATGTCCATAAGAAAAAAGATGCAGACTTAAATTAATTTTAACCATTATTTTGAATACACATATGACATGCATGAACAGGACTTTCTATATAGTTTTAATAAATTGTTTACAATAATGTTTGAAAACCCTTTTGCAGGCACTGCCACCCACAAAGATGTTGCAGATGGCTTACAGAGAAAGGAGCCTGTTCTATTATGTCCACCAATCCTTCCACTGAACACTGTTTCTAGAAACATCTACTTGGTCCAGTGGTGGGATTCAGCCAGTTTGCATCAGTTCAGCAGAATTGGTAGCTAATTTTTTGTTGCCCAGGCCCAGAATGGACTTTCGGAAGCGGCATCCACACAGAGAACCGGTTGTTCACATATTTGAATCCCACCATTGACCTGGTCCCTTAACAAATAATAGACTAGGCTGAGATCTTTGTTTTTTTAACCATCTGACATAATTTTAAACAATAGATTTAAAACAAATCTTTGTTTTAAATCTATTGTTTATTTATTGTTTTTTATTTTTATATTTGTAATTCAGTCCAACAATATGTGTTACCTAGAATGTATTAAACAGTCTACAGGTAGTCCTTGCATAATGTCTACTTTTTCAGCGATTGTTTGACGTTATAATGAATGAGGGGTCCCAAGCTAGATGGGGAAGAAGATAAGAGGTTCAGGGTAGCCACACCATATTTCAAGTAGGTTAGAAGTTACAGCTTTAGTTTGGCAAGCTTCTCTCCATTAGGTATAAGCAAATAAAGAAGTGGACTCATTTGGATTTCATTGTTGTTGCCTTTGGACTTGAGCCTGATATCAAGCTGACTGAATAACTAATGAAAAGATTTGGTGATTGTTGCATTTATTTCATAAGCAAACACATCTCTCATCTCTTGCACATTGTTTTATAGGAATGTTGCCCTATTATTCATAGCAAGCCACTTCAACTCAATAATATTTGAGGGCTTTTTGAATTGGAACTGCTGTTTTTTGGTCTTGCCAAATCATTGGTATGCGATTTGACTCTGGCCATTCTAAAATGCCGTTCTTTGACCTGGCCATGCCAAAATGCTGAATTTGTTTTTTTCTTTAATCCATTTTCTGTACATGAGCTTGCATGCTTAGAATCTTGCTATAGTATATACCCACATGCACTTTAAAAGATGGGTAGAAACTGGGCAGCAGAGTATCCCCCCAACAAGTAAACTTCCATCTTCTCTTTGTCCATGGAATGAAGTTCTTATTGTGGAATTCGGTGTTTATTTTTTCCAGAAAAAATGTATTCCAAGAAACTGAAACATTCCACTTTTGACTTTTGTATCCATAGAATATTCTTCCAGACATCTGAAGGTTCATCCAGGTACCTTTTGACAAACTTGAAATGAGCATCAACATTCTTCTTAGTGAGGAATGACCTCTACATTGCTACTCTCCCAGTAATTTTCTGATGATGGAGTGAGGAAAGTAATTACTTTAGCCAAGGCAATAGAGACCTGCAGACCAGTACAGTATATGTTGTTCAATAGGTCTGTGTGACTGTCTGAATGTATTTATTTACTTTATATGTATGGTCTTTATTACTGAAGACTCTGGGAATCAAGCAAAATTATGTTGATTTTGATAGGTCATCCGCTCTTGGGAAGATTTACCCTTATTTCAAATCCTCTCAATTTCGAGACTGTGCCTGACTGTGAGTTGATGGAGTTTTAGAAATGGTTTTATAATCTTTTTTACAACATTGAGCATCAACCACTTTTTTATGCAGAATTTTAGAAACTTATTTTGGTTTTGTTTATGAAACAAGTGAACCAAGCACCATCCCACTTTGGTGCTATTTGTTGTCTCGATATTCTATATATCAGCAGGATCCACAAGAAGCTCTAATAACTAACTGGCAGAGATAGTCACATCTGGAAAAACTGAAAGAGTGTGAATACTTTTTCAAAGATCCAACAATATAGTCTAATCTTATATAGAGAAACACAGAAGCAGATGTATGAATAGATGGAATAGCAAGTTTGACATTTTGACAGATTATTTAAAAAGTGCTGGCTTAAACCAATAAAAGTTTGAAATGGAAAAAAAGTACCAGCTTGTTATGGGCCTTATTTCCACATGATTTTGCTGATGACTTTAGTTTACATAACATAGTTATGAAAAATGTCAAGATATCAACCAGAAGGCCATATATTTCCATTATAGAAAGGGAGCTACTTACTTGCAAAATTTTACATCTGTTGGAGAGGCAATCCATATCATCACAGGGCTGATACATTCCAAGTGTGACACAGTTCAGTAGGATCACCATCATGCTGACACATTCAAACCAGGTAGAAGGAAGAAATAAAGTCAAGGAAAAAAAGATCTCATTTACAAACAACATAATTAACCCTCAGATATACTAGAGTGGAAATTTTTGTTTTAAAAAAAATTATCGGAGTGTACAGTAGGTAAGCAATAAGACCATAGCAATACAATGCATAAACAGTAGATAATTGAGATAATATAATTGCTCTTAGATTGTACCATTAGATTGCAGGTGAGAAAATCACATGATAGCATATTCCTTCATAGGTAGAATGGAAAAAATCATGTACAAAATATATATTCTTATAGATAAAATAAATAATTCCATGGAAAAAGGTTTCAATTATGGATACTTCAGATACAGGCCAAAGTGGTATCACCTGGGAAGAATTTTATTACTGAATAAGTTGTTTACATGAGTTACTTTGTCTGCCACTCTAAAATAACCAAACCATTGTTTTCATGAAGATGGTAGTAAGGATGTTGACACAAATAATGCAAAAAATGGTCCAGTATAAATGTTCAACAAATACAGATTTATCTATGAGATAAATCTTTGTGAATCTCTTCCCCCTCCATGCACATCAGTGCATACACACAGAGACAATATTTTTATCATTACATTCTGAATACATCACTTTAAATGTACTGCAACAGGGTAAGATTAAATGAGCAGAATTCATTTTTTGATTAACATTTATAATGTGTAATGAGGAAAACAAATAGCATGTATTTTAATTACAGTTTATCCTTGTCATCCTCTCTTGTTCACATTTGTTTTAGTTGACTTTATATAAAAATAGTTAGCAATACCTTAAGAGCAACTAATATAAATATATACTTTTGTATTTATTTGCTTGTCTTATTTTTCCCCAAAATAAGATCACAGATTTGTTTCCCTATTAAATCAGGTTCCCTAGTGATTCTTATTGCCCTGAAACCAGATAATTGACTAAACATTCACATAGTGTTCTGCACATGTATAGAAAAGTTACAAGACTGAAAAAATAGCAAGCTGCCAAAGTATCCAGTGGGCAATCAGTTGAACTGGATGTTTTTATGTTGAATTGGATGTTTCAATGTTTTTTTTTACTAGCTTTACTGTTTTAAAATGTTTTTTAAATTTTTAGTTGTGATATATTTTCTGAATTGTAAGTCTCCCAGAGTCATTGACTGAGATGGGTGGCCATAGAAATTGAACAAACAAAGAAACAAACAATTAAATCAGAAAATTTGGTCTTTCCTGGCTACTGTGCTAATTCTGGAGGATGCACTTTCCTCCACTGCCATCATGTAAATCGAACAGACTACTGGAGGAGCCTATCCTGCCCAACTGCCTAGATAGAATTCCATGTCCTTGTGTATGGTAACAATATACATGTGGCATTAACTGGAAACATCTTTAGATCCCTTCCAGCTCTAAGCCAAAGGATAACGCTACCAATGTCCATGAAACAATAATAACCATACATTGCTTCCAATAATAGAAAATTATGTGTCTTAATTCTAGTTGCTGGTGAACAAGTAGGATGATTCTACTGAATTCACATTCTGCACGTGAGCTTCTCAATAGCATTAGGCTACTTACTGTAAGAATATCATGTTGGCCAAAAGGTCTCTGGCAGGAATATCTGCAGGGTGTAACTAAAATAATTAAAATGGTGGCCATGATGGTACAATTGAAACTTCCTAAATTTTATGCACAACACACCCCTTGTTTTGTCATCTGTATTTCTTCCTCTTACATATGGTAGCCCTATTCTAATATCCCTCTGATTTTGTTAAAAGAGAAAGTTGTTTCTCTTATGATAAGCTTTTTTTTTTTTAATCATGGAGTCAATAGGCTGTGACAACTAGATAGGCCTATTGCAATCTGTAAACCTGGAGGGTAATGTTTTCATAGAGGGTGATAAATTATTCTCTTTCACTCACACAAACTAGAAATGGGGGTACTAATTGTTTTCCAGGCTTATATTGGAAAAACAGGTTGCTGGCCCATCTAAACTGTTACTTTACTTCTAACAGTGGCCAATGTTCAACACAATTTCAGTGACAGATTTTAAGTGTACACTTAAAGAGGAAATGTGTTTTTTTATCTGAGCTGGTGTTCAGCAAAGATCCTAAAGCATGAGGATTTATAGTCCTTGCAATTGTTTTCTTAGCTACTGCATAATGTCTCTGCACAAATTTAGCAACAAAGACAACTAATCCTTTTGCGTATACTTTTTTACAACTAACTACCAATGAGTTAGTTCACTTTACAATCTCTACTTCCAACTATTCAGAGTCAATGCAATCACCAGGAGTCAAATGCAATCCAAGAAAATCTTTTTCTTTTTGTATTTCATCAGAAGTCACCTCATTTTGCATAGAAGACACAAATACCATAACTATTTACCATCCTGTTTCTTCTGTCATCCTATCATGCCCTTTTCTACTTTCTGCACTTGAGCCATTCTTAATGTAGAGTTATATCCATGAGGATTTTCTAAATGGCTGTTCCAGAGGCAGGAAGCCTTAAATTAGCTGAAAGTGCCTTCATATCTTTGTTTTGCAGCTTCTATATTTAAATTTAGCCTAATGAGAATAAAGGCCCCAATAGTACACCAGGTAAAGAACTATAAAATCTCAAGAACATTTCTATCAGCATTTATTCAAATTAAAACTCAAGTAAAACTTCTTACTAGAATGTGAAATGTTGGTGAAGAATTAATATACCCTACAGTCTGTAGTTTATGGGAAATGGTAAATAGGTTAAACTAAATGCAAACGGAAAAGAGGAAAGGAATATAGCCTAATTTCTATACGCAATTACATTGCTTGCTTGATTTCAAGCAGATGTGTTTTCAGTTTTATACTTTAAACCCAAAATCATAAAAAGAAACAATTGCAAATAATTGTGACAAAACAATTTCATTTAATTGCTCTGATTCTATTGAAAAAACAAGCATGGGTATCATATGACTAGCAGGATGAGAAATTCCTTTGATAATCTGTTTGGTGAAAACCAGATTTTTATTCTTTTTACTATTTTTATCCAGCAGAGAAAAATAGCAAAACCATCAACCATATAATTGCATTACTACACATAGAGTCTCAGCTCGTGGATGGCGATAAACTAACTTAGAACACTCAACAAGCCTTTGCTAATAAGAATGAGGTGCTTATACCAATGCTGCCCATTTGAACAATTGGCTCTTATTCACTGAAAAAGAGTTATTCCTGGAGACCAGACAGAGCATTGTAAATGCAACATGGAAACAACCCCATGCAGAGATGCTTCATGCCTTTATGCACTGAGAATTCAGGAATCCTTGATCCTTAGAGATCCTCTGTTTACATAGCTATTTGTTAGTGCACATAAAGAAAATTTAGGAATTATATACCTACTGATCATCATAAGTTGTATATTTTTGACACTGGATATGCATCTCTATACTACTAAATTCCTTCTGTTTTTAACCTTCAGTTGGGTGAAACAGTGCATGAACAATGTTTGAATCAACATACCTCAAATGGGCTAATTTTAAAGAATGCATCAAAAATCTGGAATCCAAGTCTGGGATTGAAATTTGGCAAAGTTGTGACCACGTCAGCATCAGCACACTGTTTTAGTCATCTGCAGTCACATGATTGTTATTTTTCACACTCCATGCCACATTTCCACAAGAAAAGTTAATGGGGAAGTCAGCAGACCATCAGAAGTCACTCTCATTCTCACTGCTGTTTTGCACACCTGTGGTCATTCTGTTTCTCAGTTTAGGTAAGGATATATTTCTGAAACAATATCTTGATGAGTAACAAGCTGTCTAGTTATTCATTAACTTTATGCACAACTTTTTTGCACTTCAAAATAAAGTCTTTTCAACTATAACTATTTAGTGATTTGGGATGCCCCTCCTCCTGGTTTTCTTCTCCAGAATTGGAATAAACTAATAACCATCATGTTCATTGACAGAACCTGATAATTAAACTGGTTTGGATTGCCTTTTTCCAAGGAATGCTTAAGATAATATCCCAGTTCAGGTTATTCATCCTGATCTTTTTTATTTAATAAAAGGGAGGATCTTATGCCTACTGATGGCAATATAGAGTCTAACAGTTCATTTGCATTAAATGGTTCAAAGCTTGCTTGACACTATTTACAATCATTTGCAATATTGCTGGGTTTTACATAAGATAATAACAGGGAATTTAAAGCTCAGTGATGAAAGGTACTCATACGGCTATATTAATATTACTATAAAAAGTAAAAGCAGCTTAAGTTCCTATACTTGTCTTTACAGAAATCACTCTGCCTACATTCAGAGGAACAAACTTCTGAAAAAATAGGAGTAACTGCACCACATCCTATTTGTGAAGGACACTTTCCAAGGTCCTGAAAATCCAGTATTTATTAGTCAAATTTATGTAGCTGCCTATCTCATGAGAACTAACTCTGAGCAGCGTACAATAGTCAGTAAGAAATAATACATATATGAAAGGAAGTACAGGTAGTCCTTACAACATTTAATTTGAATGGTCATTTAATGACAGTTCAAAGTTACAACGGCACTGAAAAAAGTGACTTATGAATGTTTTTCACACTTACAACCTAGAATGCAGCCTAAGCAGCCTAGAATGCATAATTCAACTGTACCTAAAGTGTAGGTCGGAGATTCTTTAAGGTTCCCCATAAATAAGCATGATTGAGGGTTTGGGTTAGGGTTAAGAAAAACAATTGCTTTACAGAGGCAGAGATGGTGGAGGCATTTTGTTTTTACTATGTACACGGAATTGAGGAGAAAACAGCTATTTATAGCAATTTCCAAACTTCCCAGTTTCTAATGTGCAAACAACCATCTGCACTATTGCAAAGCTACTTCTACCTCTACCACCACTTCCTCTCAACTTTTTACTAAGAGAAAGGTAAGAAGGGAATAGGTTGGTATACTTTTGAGTCACTCTAGCTTTCAACACTCCAGCTGCATAGAATTTGCACATTGCATCTCTCTATGGGACTTCTGCCCAGCCATTTGGAACT